TGTAATAAACCAGTGGTGTGCAACCTTTTTTCAACCATGACCCCCATATTTTATTTTATTTGTGTCATGACTCCTGAGGGGATTTGAGTAGCATGGCACAATGCTTAGATCTGGCCGGCCAGGGTTCATGCCTGCGGCTATGGCAACCTCCATCCGCAACCCCCTTAGGGGTTGCGCACCACTATAATACACAATGACAAATTTCAGCCACATTCAATAAGAAAGTCAAAATGACAGGTGTATGCATTAATTATACAATATTGATCAAGGTCCCAGGTGTGAATCTAGCAGTCAAACTGCTAATTGTCCCTCTCTTATCTTAGGCCACTGTAGTGACTCTATAAATGATTGCATACTTTATTGTTCAAACATGATACTATGTTGAAATATAGTTGACCACTTTGTTATCTGTAGGGTTCTCTATTTTCCTTTTGTATATCTGGGTGTGTCTATATTATGCATCTATATATTCTGATGTTTTCAGTCTGTGAGACAGGCCCGTAAACCACTTAAGTTGGTTAACATGAGGATTCTTTTTTCACATTTTCTCTTGTTTTCACTAACCATCTTGAATTTACACACAGATGAATTTGCTAATATAAGTGAATGACGGAAATTATTCTTTTATGACCTAGTTTTCTACATTTTAATTATTTTTCTTCTATTCCTTTGTTAAAATACATTTTTGGGTTTTATCCTGGTTTTCCCAGTATTTTTTTGCCAGATACAAATGAGCCTATTTTAGATGGCTTTTCAGTTTTTGAATAAAGAAATGCGTTTTTACTTCCTTAATATGTATATTAGTAGTTTTCCATAATAAAGGTCATGCTTGATTGCTAAGATGTGTACTCGCAATTTTCTGTGAGATGACTTATTGCTCTACTTCCTGCTCCCAGCAGTTGATTTTAGAAAGATACTCAGGAATAGAATTATACTTAGTTTTGTTATACCAATTAAACTTCTGTTCAATATTTTCAAGCACAAACTTTAATACACAATATTTTTAAACAATGCAAATGAAAATGGTATAAAAATTGAAATAAAGTTTAATTGCAGGATTATATACATGTATTGAAGGCAATACATTTTTCTGATATTTGCTTGTGTGTGGCAGACAAATTTGAAATGTTTAGTTTAGGCATGTGAACGAATAGTCGAGTACCAGATAAGCAGCAGATCACTGGGTAGCACTATCGACTATTAGATCACTCTCCCCTCCTTACCGCTCCCCACTGTTCTGCACTCTTAAAGGGACAGAGCAGAGCTGTTGAACAAAGATTGGTCCCCCGCGCTGCCTCTCTGCATTCTGAAAGGCACAAAGCAGCGGCAGCTGGTCCCGCTTGTGTCTCAGCAGAACCCCCACCCCTGTTGACACTCTGCATTTTTAAAAGAGCAGTGGCAGCCCGTCTCGTGGGTTGCTGTCAGCACAAGCCTTCCTGCCCATCCATGCCCCCCATTGCTGCTCTGCATTTTTAAAGAGAATTTGCGACCACTCAACTAGCAAATTAATCACTATACAACATCACTACTTTAGTTAGCTTTCACATTTTACAACATAAATGAACATACAGGCAGTCCCCGAGTTACGCAGATCCGACTTATGTCGGATCCGTAGTTACGAACGGGGCCCTCTCCCTGGTCTCCAACAGACCAGGGAGAGGAAGCAAAGCGGCGGCTGAATCTGGACGCCAGTTCTGACTTACATACAGATTCAACTTAAGAACAAACCTACAGTCCCTATCTTGTACGTAACCCGGGGACTGCCTGTACTTTATATTTCTAAATATTTTCACTATAACATAGGTCAATACACCTCACCCAGTAATTTCTACATCAAGTTAACAACGTCTATTTGAGCTAGAGCATATGTTTTTAGAATAGTAATTATTAGTAAAGAAGTTAATTAAAATAATGCTATAAGACTGCGGAAGAGAAAAATGCTGCAAATATCCACCTCTTTTAAAGACAATCAACACAGAAATGATTTTCTTATTGTTTTTGCCATTATAGCACCATGATAAAATAATTTAATAGTTTAGACTACACGATCTCATTTTAATAGTTTGCTTCAAGTAGCTATAATCAAATCTATTTTATATAAATTCAAATATCAATCACTTATGAAATATTGAACAATGTATAATACTAAAGGAAAAATAAACAGTTTCAAAATAACCCCTTCAACTACTACATTATGAGGTCATTAGCCAACTTTGTAATTAAAGCTGTGTTCTTCTGCATTGACATTCTTACTTTTCAGACTTCATTGACTGAATTTAATTATTCAGTTCAACCATAATATCTCTTCGGTGGATAACTGAGCATTGTTTGATTTTAAGAAAACATTTACTAACTTTTGCAAAAATAACAATGTTTCCTTTCTGAGTGATCGTGTTTTGATCACTTATTTTTATGTTACTCAAAATAAACTACTGCCATCTCCACAGATAGATAATGCCATTTTTACATGAATCCTGTAAATCTAAATCCTAAGAGATGCCCATCTCTTAGGATTTAGATTTACAGGATTCATGTAAAAATGGCATTATCTAAAAATGGCATTATCTATCGGTGGAGTTGGCAACATTATACATAGCTGTGCAATCTGAGAAGAACAATTTCCAGTCCATGTGAATTTTTCATGATTCCTGATTTTACTCTCCTTCCATAATCGATCTTATCATATGGATAAGACAAGCAATCAACAAAGGTTCTTTGCTCTAGTTTCTAGAGTGCATTATGGACTTTTGACTATAATATGGAAACCAGTGGATTTTTCTATATTTCTTATCTTGCTATGTCATACTTAAATTTTGAAGGCTATCATTGTGACTCTTTCTTTCTTTCCTCATTGACATAAAAGCTTACATAAAGAAAGTTTTACTGAGTTTAGTTATGCAAAGTATTGGGAAACACATATGGACCCTTAGATGTTTCTTCAGTGCCCTAATTATAACATTAGTTTGACATCTAAATCAAAAAGTAACTTGACTGACTAACCTACTACAAATACTAGGAAGGTAACACAACATACAGTTTTAGCTGTATGGATTCTCTGCAGCATGGGAAGTATTAAAATACTATGGACCGTAGAGATACAATGCTCTTGTGTGAGAATTAGAGCATATCCAGGGCTTTTAACAGACTTCGGGCCCTAGGCTGTGTGTGTTTGTGGGGGGGGTCAGCTCTGGGCCTCCAGAATGGGTAGGGTGTTAGATAAAAGGGGAGGAGCTAGGGACAGCCAGCCCTCAGCTTCCCAGGCCATGCCAGTGCCACACTTCCCCCAGTCAGTCCTCTGTACCAACTGGACTGTGCCATGCGGGGATCCAGTGGCAATATAAAGGTCCCAGGGCTCTGGCTGCTGCTGTTGCTGTGGAAACAGCCCAGTAGTCTGCAGCCCCAGGCTTTTAAATCGTTCACCCCCGCTTTCAGCGGCCCTGAGCATACCAAGTCAGAAAAGGCCAATAGACTACAGAAGCATTTCTCTGCTTGTAACATTAAGTTAACATAAATGTTCAGATGTAAAACATTTCAAATAAAATGTTTATAAGTTCCTCTTTAAACATGTACTTATCTGCAGTAGAAATCATTGCTACAGACAGGCCTCCAGATTGGTAAGCAGATCACCTTTTCAAAATGTGAAAACAGGACATATTCAGGTGTCCCTGGCCATGTTAGAAGCCAGAACTAGGCAGGTTGAGCCCTGGACACTGCTTGCTGTAGGTGTGGTGGCCAAGAGCAGCCCCCGTTTCTTGAGGTGCACTGTCCAGGGGAGGTTGATGTCTGGGATGATGAGGAGAACCACAGCGACTCGGGTTCCCTAGGTAGGTCTTACTAATGCCCAGTCCTGATTTCTGCCCAGGAGCAGAGGCAGGACTTCATGGGGAATAGGCGAAGCAGTAGGGTAGGATCTTGTGCTGGGAGGAGGAGAGGGGCAACCTCATCCTTCTCCTCTCTATAAATACACCAAGAAGAGGCTAGTGCCACCCCTGAACATCAGGCAGGTACAGACAGGATGCAGGACAAATGTTATCCTGGAATCATTCAGAGCAGGACTTAAAATGTACATTTAGGGATTGTCCTACACAATTAGGGATGGGAGGTCACTTCAGGTAAGCACTGAACTTACAGTTAAGAATGTGTTTAAGGGCTTTCTTGAAATTAGGGTCACAAAGATTAAAATAGAGCCATAAAATGACTTTAAGTACATAAACTAATATTTATCAATATATCTAAAAGATTGCTTTAAGTAGCAATGCTAAAAATATTAAAATTAAAGTTTTAGCTTTGTTGACAAGTGCTATTAGTGTTATGGTATCTGCCCATGCATGTGAGGTACACATATTAGAGCTGGGGAAAGGAGACTATATTTTGATTTTAGATTGCAAAACACCTCTGGTGAATTTCCTCTACTAAAACCAGGCATGGTTGGTATTTAAGAGTTCCATAATATCAATCCACAAAAAATAAAGTTTTTGGAGGATAGAGATAAAAGTTTTATTTCCATCCTTAGTGTAATGGGGAAATTGATTTCTTTTGAAAAATATTTGTTTTTAGGTTTTAGTTTTAAGAAACTAACCCAGTGTTGGGTTCCATTTTATCCAAACTGAGATATCCAACTCATCATTCACACATTTTGTTTGTGTATGCACTGTATTATTTCTTGGATGAAAATGCTAATTCTCCATTTAAGAGATCAGGTTACTTTTTTTTATTTGCAGCCTTATTGTTTTTGCTGATGATTTTTTCCTAACCAGAATATAGTATTAAAAACCCTGTGCCTGAAAATTTTTGTTGGGGTTTTTTAGGGTTGAGAGGGGTGTCATGGTGGGAGTACAGTGGCTGGGGAAAGTTGAGAGAGATTCATATCCTACTGAATGGTGTATTGTCCAGCAATCTTGAGGCTCAATTTTCAGAACTTGATAACTTGTCCTGTTGTTACATCACACTGACGAATGAATTTATAAATAAATTAACCTCTCTTTTTTTCTCTTTGGCAGATGCAAGACAAAAGTCTACCCTGATGAACTCCCAAATACAAGTGTAGTTATAGTATTTCATAATGAAGCCTGGAGTACTTTGCTTCGAACTGTTTACAGTGTTATAAACCGATCCCCACACAATCTGCTTTCTGAGGTGATCTTGGTAGATGATGCCAGTGAAAGAGGTATGCCTCTTGCTCTACTCTTCTAATGGATAGTTATAATAATTTGATAGAGATTTACATATTTTGTTAGTGTCGCATGTGAGAACACAACAGAAGGAATTGTATATCAATGGAGTTTTGATCCTTAGCTCCAAAAACGGGTTGATTTTTTTTCTTGGATTAAATAGATCAGTGATAATGATGCTTTTCAATTACCATGTTGGACATCTGGTCATAAAGGTTTGTAATGTATTTGTGGAGGTGCTAAGACTTGGATGTTCCTGAGTCAGTAGTTGGCAGACAGTCTGACAGGGATTGAATGTTTACCCAGAGCTGTTACCTAGAGTTTTGTTCCAATGTTCCAGACAGTGTTTCCCTCTAAGATTTTCTAAACATGAGAAAGTGAGTTTTGGCCTGTTCACCAATATTAAGGTCATGTGTGCTGGTTTGGATGTGTGCCACAGTAGCACCCAATTTATGAACACACACACACACATTCCCATCCACTGGAGCAAAAACACCCCCCGCCATGCAGCATGTCCCGTTCCCAGCTGCTAGAGCAGACCCTTGCCCCCTTACCATGGCCATGCGACATGTCCCATTCCCGGTCACTGGAGCAGACATTCCCTCACCATGCAGCAGGTCCTGATCCCGGTCCTAGTGCCAGAACAGGCCCCGACCCCACCACCACCACATGGCAGCCCCAGCCACTGAAACAGGCCTCCTCCCCATACAAACCCTGCCACATGGCTGTGTTCTGGTTCTGGTTCCCCACCGCAGCGGCTCCCTCACCACATCGTCTCAGCCATCCTCGCCCACCGGAGCAGCCACCTGCTGCATAGCTCTCCAGAGGTGGTGGGCAGTTTAAGAATTTTTTGTGCACCTTAGCAGGAGCAATGGTTCCAGATAAAGACTATCATGAGGAATATGGCTCAGCTTCACAGGTGATTAATCAGCCCTGCCCAGTCAGTCAGCTTCTTGCAGGTTGCCCTGAGCCTCTGACTGGGTGGGGCTGATTAATTACCTGTGAAGTTGTGCTGCCCCACAGCTTAAGTAAACACTCATGGCATCCTGTGTCTGCTGCTCATTTCTCTTCTAACAAGGAAACAACTCACTCTTGAGCTTCAATCCTGTCCGAATGTCAGATGCTCAAACAGTTTCTTCAGATGAATCTTTGGTGAATAACAGTTTTTGTGTTTAATTTATATTGAGCCTGAATTTCACATCGTTTTGTAAACTACTAATTGGGGCTATATGAGGGTAGAAAAAAAAGCAATTTTCAGTAACAAAAATCTGCTTTTGACAGTGTTAGTGATTAAAAAAATTAATTTAAAAGAATAGAACTGATGAAAGGCCAAAAAATCTGTCAGTGTATTTCCTTTGGATATCAAAATATTTGCACTGCACTGTACCAACCATGGCAACTGCAGGATTTAGCAGCTGTGTTGCTAGATTTCTCTATGGGTGTCAAAACCTGTCCCCTGAAGGAAATGGTCAAAAAACACTGCAAGGGGCACCTTGAAGGTTTTCCTAGGCCTTCTGTCCTCTTCATGAAGCCTCCCCTCAGGAGTGAAGTCAGCAGGGGCTGGTAGCCCTGCTTCCCTGGGAGACTTCGCTGCTGGCTCTGCCGTATAAAGCTGAGCTTTATATGGCAGAGCCTGCAGCATGGGTGACCACTAAGATTTTTGCGGTCAAATGGTTACCTTTTAAAATCACTTTTTTATATCCCTATTGTCTACATTACCACGATAAGTTGTCCTAAGTGAAAAACATAGCTGGATTTGACAGGTTACGTTGACTTACCGCACTGTATTCATTGCTCTGCATCGATGGGAGATGCTCTCCCATCAACTTATCTTACTTCTCTCCTTTTGGCAGACTTCCTGAGTGTTCTCTGTGATTGATTTAGCAGGTCTTTACTAGGCTTGTTAAATTGACCACAAGTGCATCGATCATAACAGCATGGCCTACATTGTAATCCTAGAATGTGAGCAGTGTTCTAAGATAAGCCTCCAGCACCTGGAAACTTATCTCTCATTCTTCAGAAAATCATCAAACATGTCTCGGATTATTTCCTGACTTGTGCTTCCAGGGCCTTCGTTCTTTCAATGTTCATGCATGAAAATATTGTTAAATAATTGTTCTGAGTGACCAGTATGATGTATTAACCATAGAATTCTATTTTGAACTCTCACTGAATCTAATTTGAACCAAAATTTTTATTTTATTTTTTAATTGCTTATGGCAGATTTTCTGAAGTCCTCATTAGAAAATTATGTGAAAAATTTGGAAGTGCCAGTAAAAATTATTAGGATGGAACAACGGTCAGGACTTATTCGTGCTCGGCTCAGAGGAGCAGCGGCTTCTAAGGGCCAGGTCATCACTTTCCTAGATGCACATTGTGAATGTACTATAGGCTGGCTTGAGCCCCTGCTGGCAAGAATAAAGGAAGACAGGTAAGGAATGATTTATGTTCTGCTGCATGATGACGGTATCTGTTACAACTCTCTTGTTAAGGGTCTGTCAGAGGTACTTTTATAGCCCTTTATTTTCAATATGGTTATATCTCGGCTAGGAAAATAATCTTCTTTGGCCTGAAAACAAGTCATCAGCCCAACAACATTTTTAGTTTAAAAAAAATGGTTCTGTACATTTTGTCTCACATTTGTGCCCCAAAATAATTTTTCAGGAAGTATTTTTAAATTGATTAAGATGCTTTAAAAGTTATTGTATCATTATTGCCACAGTGTCTCTGTCAATGTGGCTGGTAATAATTGTTAATAAATTATGCCTTTTTATTTCTGTGGTACATATTCAACATTTGGTTGGCAAACTAACTTGCCATCTTGGTTTGGCTAATGAGTGCTTATGTGTGCGGTGCATTCATCCACTGTCCCCATCTTTTCTTCTCTTTTGAGCTCACAAACAATTGGAATTGATGCTTATCCTGTGTTCCAAGTGGACAGTACAATGTATACTTGCTCAGCTGATGTGTTTAAGTGAGACCTCAGTTGCAAACAGAAATCAGAGCCAAAAGCTTTGCTATCATCACTTTTTGCTATTCTAAAATGCAAATTTTATGCACTTACATTTTATGTTGAGGAAGCAATGGTGTGTGTGTGTATGAGAGAGGGAGAGAGAGAGAGAGAGAGAGAGAGAGAGAGAGAGAGAGGGGCCTTCCTATCTACAAACTCAAATGTGTTCAAGATCAAAAAAGGCTCTTTGCCTCTCTTTGTGAAGTGCATAACCACAGAAGGATTGCAAGAAAACAATCCCTGAGTGACCCAGAGAGCAGAGGAGCAACAACATCTAGCTCCACTAGCTCCACTACAGTACAGTACAGTAGCTCCTGGGATTACAGATGGACAGAGTGTCTCTTGGGTTGGAGGATCATGAGCGACTGTGCGGAGGAGGGCAGACCTGTGGTCAGGGTATGCATTGGAGGAAAGCAGTTACCAGCATCAGTTGAATGCTAGAGTAACAACTAAGGAGCTTCTTTAGCTGAGCAGAGAAGGAGCAACATGTGGTCGATGTGGAGGGTGTCTCGACAGAAAATAGGGCATAGGGAAAGGAGATGGGGGTAACTGTGCAAATATGTGGTGATCAAAGGTGTGGGGAAAGTTTACAAATAGTAGTTTTGTTTTGCTCTTGGGGCACGAAATGCAGCAATATCCCTTCCTTGAAGGAGGGGGGTATCTGTGTATGGGAATAGAAATCAGCAGTCTGAAATGGTGACAGGAGCTAACCCTAGTGGACCAGATTTGGTCTGCCAGCCGGAATTTATCCACCAGATGCACAAGAGGGAAGAAGGAAAGCCGACTCTTGTAGCCTTAGGGATTCAGCTTAATATAATATACTTTACTAATTGTTTACAATAATTTTTATGCAGCTATTATTGGAGTTTTAGGGAAATGAACAGTATTTTAGATTGTGGTGCACCACTTGTATCTTTTAAAGTTTAACTACAATGTTTCTACTATACAAGGGAGTTTTACTGTTTAAGCTTTGTGACTCATGTTACAAACAGTGTTACAAATTATGAACTGATAAAAAACATCAAGCATAGCAGAGAGAATAGCTATCCCACTGGGGATAAAACTACAACGTACAGCACCTCTTGCAGGAAAGTTAAAGCTATATGCTACAGCGGTCAGCTTGCCATAGCATCAGCAAAATTTAGGTGAATTTGAAAAGCTGTCTTAACTGTGGGGATTCTCTTTAGCTAGGACTCATACTGATACAGAAGACACTGAGAAATGTTACTGCAAGTAGAGTTGGTACTTCAAGTAGATGCACAGATTATGCTGTGTATGGACAGTTCTATCGTCTGTACCATGTTTGGACTTCTGAGTTGACATTGTTAACATGGACATCAGTTTAAAGGTCAATTATGCATTCTATAATAGAGCACTTAAGGGTGGAAATATGTATAGAAGTCATGGAAAAATATTTGTAAAGAGTAAGTGATGAAATTAAAATTAAATGTTTCATTACAATTTCAAATTTTATTCCAAATCTGAAACTCACCACAGATTTGCTGAGGTTTGAGTCAACCTAAATTAATTTTTGACCTAATTTGTATTAGCTTAATGCATTTGCATGGAAACTCTAGGGACCTCCTATTTGATTACTATGAATTAGTCCTGAAATCTGATAGCTTAAAGCTGGCTATGATTTGAAATTGGGAGGGTTGAACCTGGAGTGAAATTCAGGGAGTGCAAGCCTCTATAAACAAAAATGGGGATTTGCAAAAAATGTGAACCCGAGTAAATTAATTTTTGCACAATCTTGTTTCCAGTATATAAACTGTAGTGAGGGTCTTGATTCATATGCAGAGAAGCCACGACAGAAAGAGGTCTCTAGCCTATTAATATGTGTTAAAGTTGAAATTTCTTATTTAAAAATAATATTTTTTCTTATAGAAAAACTGTTGTCTGTCCAATCATTGATGTGATCAGCGATGATACATTTGAATACATGGCTGGGTCAGACATGACTTATGGAGGCTTTAACTGGAAACTTAATTTTCGCTGGTATCCTGTTCCTCAGAGAGAGATGGACAGAAGGAAAGGAGACAGAACCTTGCCTGTAAGGTAAGGAGAATGAGCAAGGGATGCTTGTGTATTATGACTGCATTGTATAATTGTAAGCATTGAAGTTTTATTTGTGGTTAATCATCTTAATTATTGAGATTTTAATAAATTAAATATATACATTTCCAGAAAGCATAAAGGTTCCATTTTCTCACCTATTCACAGAACTGCAATATAGTTATCAAAGCTGAGCAAATGGCTTGAATGTCTTCTGTGAGTATTAAATAAAATAAAAAAAATGAATTTGCTTTGGATATATTTGTGTCTCCTTTGCATTAATTTTCTTAAGTTTCTCTATTGAAGAAGTTCACTGCCTGGCATTTTCATGAAGACAATTAATTTTAAATTAGTATTTAGAAACTACTTGTGGAGAACAGCTTCCAAACTTGTAAAATTCTAATATTTTTCATAGAAACTTGATTCTAAAATTTATGCTCTTCCAGTCAGGGAATGGAAATGTTATCTACAATATGTGTGCAAACAACATTTCCCATTCTAGTATTGAACACTGTTAATGAATTGTTCGTGATCTACAGATTCAGATTTAGTTAAAGAAAGCATTTGGTGGCTCACTTTAATTTACATTTGAGAAACTTGTTATCCACTTGTAAAAAATTTGTGAAAAGAAAAAAACGTGACATTGTTTGATTAAATTATTTTCTGTGAATTATTTGTTCAATTCTAATACCTCTAATGGTCCTCATGACAACTAATAAAAGTACTGAAAAGTGGATACAGTGATTTCAAACATGTGTAAGGCATAACGAAGGTTAGAAAATTCCCAGTCCAGCATGACCCATGACAGCGTGCAACAAACAGAGAAATCCAGCTCAGGTTGAAATAGCCAAAAGAAAGAGACAGGCAAGATGATGGATAACAAAAGAAATGTTCATAATTATTTGTTTAAAAAGGGCAGAAATCTGTAATTCTCTGTTACAATGTTATGTACAGAGTCTTGGATTTTCGTGGGTTTTTTAAAAATATTTCTTCTTGACAGTGAAGTTATCAGGAACCCTCTTTTTCTTCCGTTTATTTATTAGGAAACATAAAAACTACAGAATCTTTATTCAGATTGGTATGTAGAATATAAGGATTAAATGCTCTTGCACAGCTGAGAGCGGGGAGCAAAGGTGCCTTTCTGACATCTGTCTGTTCCCTCAATCCTGGATCCAAACTGCCTTGTTGCAGTAAACCTCCAAGAGTCTATTCTCACCATTGAGTATCCCTTTGGTGCAGGGCCTGGAGAGGAGGGGATAAAGCCACCTATGGCTGCTCTGTACTACTTGAGGACTCCTCCATGATGGTTGCCTTTCTAGCCAGCTTTAAGGGAATCAGGATTTGGTTCTTACATACTTGACTAGAAAGTTTAAGCCAAATTCTGTTTGGACATTGCTTCGAGGAATTGGACTCTGGAGAGTACATAATGGCCCTTTTTAAACTGCCAGCAATTTTGGATGGTTACTACAATTATTTCCAATTCCTAGCGTAAGGAAACAGTACCATGAGTACCACAGATAATAAATGTTGACTATTTAAATAATTACTACCATAAATGTTAGCAATGCTTCACATTTAGGGCTTAGTGCTTTCCTGCACCTAAGTACTGGGGGATGGGCTCAGGTATGTCTGTCAGGAAGCTGATTCTGTCTCCATGATTTTTGTAGTGATCCCAGCTCCACAGTCACTTTGTGATGCTTCTTAGCAGCACTAGTGTATGACAGTGATGGATCCTTTATGGACCCTATAGCAGTAGAGATGTATGGTAGCAGAGCACAGCTCAACCAGATGTCATCCTCATTTGTGACACACTTCTTTCCCAGGAAGAGGGCCTGGAGACCAGAAGTTGAGGGCCTGACTATAGTGCAGAGGAGCCTCTGTCAGATGAATTCTCTGCTGAGTGTTTGCAATTGGATTATAACTCCTTTTGTAGCACCTAAATGGTGCAGAAGGGCTATAACTCAACTGGAGATTCTGGCCCATAATGAAGATGATGTTAAAAGGTGTTCTAGACCAGTGTTTCTCAACCAGTGGTACAAGTACCCTCGAGGGTATTTAAGAGAAGTTTGGGGCGGTACGTCAACACAACTGAAATTGGGAGAAAACTGAATTTTTGTTTTCAGTTTTACATGATTTATTATTTTTGTACTTTCTACACCTAAAAATGTCATTGCCCACCCGGCTACGATTAAGTTGTTTAAACAAATGTGTTGCAACAGTAGAAAAAAATTGTGTCTGAAAACTGTAGGTACTGGGGGTACATATATATATATTTAAAGGGGATACTTATAATTTTTAAAGGGGTACTTTATAAAAAAAAGGTTGAGAAACACTGTTCTAGAAGTCTAAACAGTTCTACCAAAGGGGGGGCAATTGCCCTGGGGCTCCGCAGTTTTAAAGGGCCTGGGTCTCCCAGCCACTGCCACTGCTACAGCAGCAGACGCCGGAGTCCATGGCCTTTTAAATCCCCGCCAGTGCTACACAGTGCTGTGGGTGGCTCAGAAGGCTAATGTGAGGTGGTGTTGGGGTCCACCCCTTCTGGGAGCGTGGGAACTGCTCCCCCACATTGCCCAGGGGCCTGGAAATTCTCTTGGCCAACCTGTGTATACTGTACAATATATACACATGAACACACACAGAGCTATTGATGACCTGGCCTGGAGCAAGTATTGTCCCAAAGGGCAAAATTAGAAAAAAGGAAACTATTTTCCCCATGGTCAAATCTTACTATTGTTATCTACAAATCCCCACAATAGCTGTTTCACTAATGCTGAGATGTTTGTGTAAAATCTCCAGAATTAAATCTTATCACCATCCCTACTGGCTCAGACTCTCTTCCCCACACCAAGTAGCTGCATTTTCCATGCCCCCTCCTGTACGGGCTTTCTTCCCTCATATCCCTTCACAGTGTTTCATAGGTCAACTTCCTTGTTCCACCTGTCCACTCTACCCAGCTCCTGAATAATAATACTGTCTTCTGGGGAATTTCAAGGAATTCAAAGAATGCTTCTGGCACCAGCCCTTATCAGTGCTCTCCTCTCCATGGTTACCAACTCCTTCAGTGAGAAAGAGTTTGTGTTTTTGAGAAACTTCCTGGTATTTTGGCTGGTTTGTGTAGGGCTTAACTGCTGATATCCTACAAACATTACTATTTTATAGATTGGTCCTGAGACAAAATTAGTCAACAGATTTTAATGAAACAAATCCTGTTATTAAAATAAAAATCCTGAAGAGGTTGGGAAAAGACAGAATAAGATATGTATTTGACAAGTACTTTTTGGTTTTAGCTTGAAGTGTTAAAAGTAGGCCCGCTGGAGATAATTAGTGAGTAAGGCAGAGGTATATAGGAAAATGTAACATATGTCTTAAGGTACTACTTAAATTATAGGACTGGGGTTATTTATTTTGGCATACAAACAATTATTAACTCTAGGCATGCACAGACAGTGCATTCACAAACAGTGAAATCTAAGCAACAAATCATTTCTTCTGGTCGATTTTCCCATTCTATAAGCATCTGGATAAAGTACTGTGAGTTTGTATTTAAACCTGTTTTTCAGTCTAATAGATCAAATTGGTGTGTGTAACACCACTGACTTTATTTTCTTCCATGTGTAAAGAATACCCCTCCTGTTTGCTAGCGTTGTGGGAGGCTAAGCCTGAGGCTGCTTGGTGTGCTCTGCACAGTGTATATTGTGTGTGTATGCTCCTCAGACCAGACCCACTCAGACAAACCACCAGGAACAGGCTTTATTCTGTAAAAAAACATAAAACAGGATTACAGTTCAGCAGCCCCTCCTCTCAGCCTGCGAGCTGCTTCTAGCACAGTACCTGCTAGACCCTGCTGGGGGCAGAGGACACATCCTGGCAGGAACCAGGAAGTTCTCCCAACATGCTGCAGTTTGTAGTCCACAACTTGTAGTTCCCAGCGCTGCTGCTGAAACACACTGGACTTTGTGCTACACCTGTATATATAATACAAGCATTGCACCCAAATTTTGCTCTTAGGTGCGCTGAAAGTTAATTGAAAGAAGAGTATTAGATAAAGTATCTATTATCTATAATAAGGTAATATTGATCAATACTTACCTTCCCTTTTTGTACTGAATAGCAACAAGCATACACTCTAGTATTGAAGTATTAAAGACCTTTACCACCTTTAGTAAGAAATAGCTGGATAATTCACTTGTCTGTCACTCAACTCTCTTATGAAGAAAAGTCTTACCAGAGCTCAGTCATCTCACATTTACTCAGTGTTGCCCAGTAGTGACGAAACAGAGCATTACTCCAAATTTCTCTGTTTTATCTTTTTTGTAAAGTTTATTGAGAAGCAATCCTATGCCAGGTTCATCCTATTTTTTTGGCTCATCTTAGTTCAGTGTCTTTTTCAACATTCACTCAGTTATGTGAATTTTGAGGATTGTACTTGCTTTGGTGATTCTATCTCTTTTCTGTTTGGTTTTATGAGAAGCAATCCCATTCCAGGGCCAACTCATTTTCCTGACACAACCAAACGCTTATATTGCTTTAAGTTATGATAAGAGGAAGCTATATACCACATTTTATGGTTGTAGCTCTTACCGTTTAGGAGTTCTTGATCAAACAGACAGACAAACAAAGTCTCTAAAATAAGTTTAACATGAAATTGACAGTAAACTCTAAGCAGTAAGGATGTTCAAATTAGGTTAATTTACTAATCAATGACTCGATTATTCGATAGGGAGAGGAGCAGTCTCAGTCCTGGCTTATGCTGGGACCAAACCCTGCTCTGCAATTTAAAAGGTAGTAGGAGCTAGGCAGCCTGCCCTCCAGCTCCCACTGCATTTTAAATTGCAGATTCACGGAGGGTTTGGTCCTGGACCCGGTGTGATCAGGGACTGAGCCGGGCTGCCTGCCCACCCAGCTCCCACTACAGCATTCAGAATTCTGATACAGCAAATTGTAAATGCTCTGAACCAATGTACAGTCACTGCTGTCATTCTTCTTAATAAATGTGTCCCCTA